ATGTATCATGAGAATATTTTCTCTATACTTGAGATATTACAGTTAAGAGGTTGAAGTTTTAGAGGTGCTTGCAATTTTCAGGGTGGGCAGAATGTTCACCCTGGTATCCTCTTTACCAAGAATCACTGTGATATTTGGTGGAGAATATGAAGAACAGCGTTGGTTCTGAACATTGGTTCTGGCAGAGGCACAGAATGGGGCAGCAGCTTTGACATCCCTTGGAACATCCCCATTTACTCCCACTACACCCATCTATAACTTCGCTGCCTTTCTCAGACTGTGAAAAGGTGTGCAGTTCTTGTGGCAGGAGTCAGGAGCAGGGGCAGTCTGGCCCTGAAAACCTGGTACAAAGCTCAGTAAAGGCTGCAGAAGATTATTCAGTGGTCAGTGGATTTGGTATCAGTTGTTCCTATAACTTTCTTAGCAATAATGAGGTGTAAGAGATCGTGACTCTTCCCCCCTTATCCAAGGTAACAGAACGATTTGGCTCTGCTAACAACGAGGCAGACAAACAACTGAGAAATCTTCCAGAGGCCAGATGTGAATGCAATTGTTAAAATACTKCCTGGGTCACTGGCTGCAACTTCAGCATTTTTGGAAATTTGTTTTTGTACCAATGTCAAAGGCACTGGGACTCTCTGCTTGCATCAGTACAAATCTGGATTAATGCAGTTAAAGCCAGCAGAGTTGTATCTGTGCAAAAGCAGTTCAAATGGGCTCAGAATCAGACTCAGAAAGTTACCCTTGTGTCACTTAGTAAGATATATTTCTTTTGGCTTTCATTTAGATTTGGTCCTTAAGGAGCCTGTCATAAGAGATATATGGTCTGGGCAAGAGGCCAACTTACYGTCTGGAAAAAACAGCAGGGCTCTCATCGATGTAGGGAACAGGGTAAAATGAGCTTTTGACTATTATTTTGTAATTTTGTAAATATTTGTGATTTTGAATTATTCAGTAAAGTTCCCACTATGCCATGACATGATGGAACGGCCTTGTCGTCTATAGACTGTGTAGGGAGAAACCTATTTACAATGATCTTAGAAACAGCTGCTGTGAGATTTTCCACTTCCTGGCATGTCACAGCTTAAAAATTTCTAGGAAATTGCATCTGCCTTCTTAGCCAGGGAGATAAGATGCCTTTGCAGCAGTGCTTTCAAGCCATTGCTTCATCACAGCAAAAAGTTAATGCAATYCTCTCTCCACCTACCCCAAGTTCACAGCTTAATTCCCATTGCTACCCGGGCCAGACATTGGGGTCAGCTACTAAGAGTCCATTTGTGCAATATTACTGTTACCTAATCACTCATTAGGTCATTGCATACCAGTTGATTTTCCAGATCCTAGGCTTTCAGACTCCTTGCATTGATTAGGGGCAGTCCATTCACCCAGGTGAAGCAGCAGTGGGCAGCAGAGATGTACATGGATTTTGCAGACTGGTGTTCTTGTTACAGCAGTGTAGGAAACACACATCAGGAATAACTGTTTTGGAAATACTCCTTCAGATCTGGTTAAAAACCAAAAGAATGTTACATATAATTACAAGAAAATCTAGTGTGAGTGACAGTTTCCAAGCATCTTTTGTTTTGCAGAGGAATTTGCTAAATGTTCATTCCCAAACTAGACTTCTGAGCACCCTGGGGTATTTTAAGCTGCAAAGAATTCACACTCAAATGAGGGAAGGAAAGAACTGCTGCCTGTAAAAGAGGCCAGTTGCAGAGAGGTCAGAAGGAGCTGCAATGTGGAGTTCAGTCCTGCAGCTTGGTTCTGCAGTCTGAAAGGGTAACTTCTGCTCCTCCATCCTCACTTCAGAGTAAGGCTACATTTGCTCGAGTTTTGATAATTAAACCCATGTAAACTTAATTAGCCTTCACCAATGCCAACTCTTACTGCAAAGTGAAGCCACTTAGATGTTGAAACCATTTTGAATTGAGTAGAAGCTACATTTAAATCTATTCAAGATTATRTTTTATTCACATTGTACCAGTGTAACTGGATTGATTTTAAAATCAAATTTAACCTTACCAAGGAAATTTTCTTAGTGTAGAGTAGTTTGCTCAGTGAGGGATCTTGCCTCTGGAGACACCATGTAACATGCTTTAGTTTATAGCTCTCATTGACTGTAACGAGGTGGTTGAATAAAAAAAAAACAACAACTAACCAAGGCTGGATATACATGCAGGATGTGCCACTTTCAATCTTTCAGACCCCTGACAGTAGTTTCAAGAAAGTTAGTTGGCTTTTGCAATTTTCTGAGGTGAAGAAAGAGGTAATACTTAATAATCAGCAATTTTGAAAGTGATTGAGGTGGACAGGCTGAAGTAGAGCAATAGAAGAAAGAGAAAAGACACTGGCAGCTGGAAGGCCCTTCTTTAGGGCATGAGGAGGGGCTGGGATGATGGAAGGGGTTAATTCTCTAAGAAAGATAATTTGCATTGCTGCACACTTTATTCTTTTGTTTTTGTTCGAGCTCTCTGTGCTGACTTCTTTGGGGCATTATTGGCTCTGCTTCTTTGACAGAACAAAGAGCCTTTGTTGTCCATCAAAGACCATTGCAACCCATCCAGATATCCAAGGCCCCAGGAGGGGGAGTTGGACATGGAGAAGCTGCCTGTGGTCCTTCCTCCACAAAAAACATCAATAAAATTATTGGAAGCATTTGCAGCATTATTGAAATATTTTCAAGGGAAATGCTCTTCAGCATTTATATCAGTGCAGATAGTGATATAACTACTGATTTAGAAATTTCTAAGGCCTGAGAGCCTGTATAGTATTTCTGAAGGTCTGTCAATTGAGATTAAGCACAGATAATTTGGGATGAGGTTGCTCACAGAGGATTTTGCATCTGATTATTACTATCTTGGGGAGGAATAAAGTCTCCCTGTGGGGTGTTGTTGGATCCGAGATGTGAGAACAGGTTGAACCTTTGGTGGAATTAAGGTATGTTTTAAACATAAAGGTCTTGTTCTACTCAATTGCAGAGAATTAGGAACCTCCTCACGTTGGACCCGTGGCATAGTGCACAGTAAAGGGCAGAGGTATCCCTCTCCCATACCAAAAAACACTACAGCTGATCTAAACTCTACATCCTTCCTTTACTTCTGATGATTGCCTAAAAAGTCTAAACTTGGCTCTAAACTTAGGAATAGCCACTGGATCCTGCAAATCATGTATTATGAATCCTGCCATAAACATCTAGAAGCTTTCTGAAGGTTTTATAATTACCTGGATGTCATAGGAGCAGCTCATGCATCTTTGTATGTACACATCTGTAGTTATGTACATGGCTAGTAGAAAATTGCTGGAGAAGGACAGGTAAAATGCCTGCCAGCAGTCCTGAGTTTTGTACTTGCACATCCTCAGGTGTCTGGATAAAGGAGGAATCACTGCAGGATTTGGGTCCTGAGGAGCAAAATCAAGCAGCAAGTAACTTTTTTTTACTTTCCTCGTTGTCCTACAATTAACTGGCCACAAAAACACAAATTCAATAAAGCAATAAAGAAAACTTATCTAAAATTCAGGCAGATGAAACCAGCTGAAAAAAGATTTTTAAAGCCCCCAAGAAAATGAATAAATATTCATGAAAATATTCAAAAGCTCAGATGTTTTCATTAGTYACCACAGGAGGGAAATATTAATTTGAAATAATAATAAAAAACTTTGAAAAGGCTTAAAAAAGAGCAAGGGGAGGAACTGCACACCCTCTGCTCCCACAGCTGGTGCATGGTTGAGCTGCGGCCAAGGGTTTCCCTTCTAGCTCAGCTTCCCCTAGAGATACAAACGGTGTGGGTATAAAATGTGCAGACCTGCCTCAAACCTAACAAAATGTCCCTTCCATCTGAGTTTTTCCTTTTATTCACACCATAACAGCACAGGAAAATAAAAAGGAGTGCTAATCTATCCTACAGTTTCCCAAGCAAGGACTCTGGGCAGGGGTTTGCAAGTGGATTTGACAGATGTATGAGCAGATGGTGAGGGACACTCCCTGAGAGCAGCTGATTCCCAGGCCTCCATGTCCARAAAAATAGCTTTTCACGGATAATGTGATTTTCAGAGGGAAGAAATACAGTGCTCACGTCTCATACTAGAACTTCTCGGTTGTTTCTTGAACACACAAACGTTGTGTGGAAATGCTTGCGTTCAGAAAAGAGCTCGCTGGGGACCATAAGCCACGGGGCTTGACCTGACTCACAAAACCCAAATTTGCAGCTCCGTCTGGCAGGTTTTTCCATGGCTGCATGGCCATAGCCGGCAGCTGAATGGGAATCACCTCGTGTTTGCATTGGGTGTGACATATTAGTCCTGTTTGGTCTCTGCCAGAACGCKCTGTGCAAAATAACACATCCCGGGAATTATGCATTTAACCCACGCATTTCTGTCCAGCCCACACGCTGGGGGCACCTTGTGCCAGAGCGGGGCTGGTGTCTCGTTAAATGTCAGTGCCTGCTGAACCCTGATACTGAACCGATGGTGTTAACGGGCTGGGGATTTAACACAAAAAGGTGTTTTTCTGATCAAATGGAGAAGGAGCTGGGAGGAGTGGGGTTTACGATTTATCCTACCACTGCCAACACGTTCTCAGCTGCACATTAGCTGCTGCCCATTTGAGGGCAATCCACGTCGGACCCTGCTGCTGCCCTTGGTGAGAGCTCTCGGCCACTCCACATCACTTTGCCCAGGGGATTACTCTTTCATACACAGAATTACACCAAGGTGGGACAGAACCCTTTTCAGCCCATGTTGTCGGAGCTCTCGGCCAGGTGGTTTGGGGCAGTACAAAGCTGCCCCCGCCCCATCCCCGACCATCAGCCGTGCAGGCGGCGAAGGGGCAGGGGTGGCATTAAAAAAAAAAAAAAAAAAAAAAAAAAAAAAAAAAAAAAGCTTCGGGTCGGGGCAGGCGAGAGAGCGCATTTGGGGCTCCCATGGTAGTGGGGGAGCTCCTGAGGAGAAACGTGGCGGGAGCTCGCCAAGGGAGAGGGGCGAGAGGAACAAAAGGCGATGGCTTCCCTCAATCCAGCTCCCAGCGCAAGTCTCCGTGTCCCCCCGGGAGGCACCGGAGAAGCCAGGGAGGAAAGGCCGCTGCCGGCCGGGAGCCGGTGCCCCAGGGCGCCCTGAGGCGGTGCGGCCAGAGCCTGAGGGGCGAACGTGCCGCAGGAAGCGCTGCCTCCYCCGGGACCAGCCCGGGGGCTCCGCCGGGAATGCTGTCGGGCTGCTTCGGCTGCAGTGCGATTGTTAACGGGACCCCGGCCGGAGAGACCCTCCGSCCCCCGCGCTGCCCCCGGCCCGCCGGGAGACCGAACTGCGGTAGGGGCGGCTGCAGCCCCGGGGAGGCGAGGGTGCCGCTGCCCCGGGAAGGGGCTCGCTGCGGCGGGAGGCCGTCCCGGAGGAGCAATGCTGCCGGGCACCGCCGGAGCGAAGGACGAGGTGCRGAGCGGTAGCACTGGGAAAGCGGCCRCCGCGGGGGGAAGCGGCTCGAACGTGGAGCGGGAGGCAGGGCCGGGGCGGGGGGTGAGGGCCCGCCCCGCGGTGGGCTGAGGGGGCACGGCGGGAGCCCTTCCCGCCTCCCCGCAGGGCGGAGGCGGCGGCGGGGGGTCCCTGCGCTCGGCCCGGCGGTGSCTCCGGTGCTTCGGCGGGAGGTGGTTTCCCCTGCCTGGAGGGCGAGTGCGGGATCGCTCCGCCGGAGCCGTGCCCGGGGCGGTGAGTGCCGAGATGCCGGGGGGCCATGCGGGAGGGATGGCGGCAGCCCGGGGCGTTGGGGGCCGCCTGAGCCCGGGCGCCCCTCTCGGAGGCATCGCCTCCTCGGTGTGCCCTAAGTCAGCCCTGATTGCTTAAGGAGCAGTGGCCTCGGCGGGCGTACCAGGTAGCGGTATCGCCGCCTGGGCTGAGTTTCCTCAAAGGGCTGGACGTGTCCCGGTGCTCATAGAGAGGGCACATTGGGCAGAGCGTGCGCCCGTCTGCCGCCCTGGGGCTTCGGATCCTGCGTGGAAACAGGCATTCAATGGCTTCAGCACACCCTGGCTGAGGAAGCGTTGCATCCACAGGGAGATGAAATGATTTAACTCACCCTGCCGTTCCCTCTTTGTGTCCCTGTGCAGGAGCCTGGACTGCCCTGCTGATGTTTCGGAGTTGAGGTAATGGCAGAAGTCGGTCTGTGGGGCACGGCCGGAGGTCCGGAGCACGGTCTGGGGACTGCAGAGCGCCCGTGAGCGGCGCCGGGATGGGGAACAGCGGCTCGGCCGTGAAGGTCTGCACGGATCACCAAGGGGGCATCAACTGGCTGAGCCTGAGCCCCGACGGGCAGCGGCTGCTCACGGGCAGCGAGGACGGCACGGCGCGGCTCTGGAGCACCGCCGACAGCCAGTGCCACGGACACTTCCAAGGTACGGCRTCTGCAGTTTGGGTCCGAAGCATGGCACAGGCCACACAGCGTGTTCTGGTCTCTTTCAGTCCCTGCCGGGCAGCCAAAATAGTGCTTGTTTTGTTTTGGTGTTTATTTCAGTAATGTTTAGCAGGAGCTGTTTCAAACCAAARCAGGTTACCAGCACTACTGAATGCACGGATCCTTTTATCTCAGGGTGTGCGAAGTTGTTTAACTTTAGTMATTCTGGAAGCCCTGTTTTACACTGTTAAAAAAATGACTTAATGTCTTTCTCTCCCTCTTTTTTTTCTTTTATTTTTTTTTTCTTTTCCCTATTAATCATCTAATTTCCAGGAGATCTTTGTTTAGAACCTCTTAACCCAGAAATCTGGAAAGGAATCTTGCTAAATAGGTTATTTCCCCCCCCCCCCCCCCAATTTGATACACAAAAATGTTAATTGCTGGGCTTTTTCAGTTTAAATTAATTTTTGCATCTTAAAAGAAATTTATTATCCTTAGACTAGCATGTCAATAATTGAAAAAAAAAATAAAAGCGCTCTCTAGAAAGTGCAGTCATGCAAGAGTCTATATATGGACTAAAGATGTTTGTATTCTCACTCATGTTCTTTTCATACAGAAAAAAATACGGCTTTTAAATGTGGAATTTCTGATTTTTTTTTTTCTTCCAAAGAAGAAATCACATTGCTGTGATTTTCTTGTTGTTTGTTTATTTTCTTGCTTGTTTTTCACTATGGAGTATTGTCTTTTTCCTCCACATCCTGCCATGGTTCTAGCTTCTGGAAAACTTGCTGCATTTGCTTTAGGCTTAGAAATCCCTTTAAWTCACTAATTAACTTTTAACTAGAAAGAGAAATGTATTGGATTGGATTCATTATTATGGARTCTGCCAGTACTGCCAGTATTTGGGGCATACTCTGAAGAAGGTTGGCTGGGTGGTTTGTGAACTGTCAGTTGAATCAGATAATTGTATGTATTTTATACTGATGCACACACGCAGCTGTMGTGTCAATTTTAATTGTACAAGCTATAATTACTGATAAACCTGTATCTATAATGCAGTTTCAGGCTCCACCACAGCWCAACCAGCAGACTTATGTGGTGGCTGCTTTTGGCCAGACGAGCACCAGACCTTGTCTGCCACAGGGGGTTTTGGCACATTCTGTGCGGGTCGAGTATTGCTGATGGTTAAAATCTGACTTGCAGACTTTGGTGCAGTAACCAAGATGCTGTTTTGATCTCAGAGCTGGATTACATGATGTTGTGAGAAAAATCCCAGTGATTGAAATCTGATCCATTCAGGCTGCTTTGCAAAAAGTTTTACAAATATGGGAGGACGAGTGTACTTTTGCTTATAGCCCTGGTGATCTGTTTCATTTTTGGCATCTCATGAATTTGCTTTAGAGGAAACAAGCCATATGTTTGTAACGTGGATTCTGGTTTGCTTTTGCATAACAACAAGGCTTTTGAACTACAGGAGTTGTAGTGAAATCTTTTTTGCCGTCAGTGAAACTGTGTTTTACTGGGCAGTCTACTTTCCCAAAGTGTTTTTACCATCTCTTTATTTTACAACATTATTCTGTTTTTCTAATACTTTTGTCTGTCTGTCTCTCCTTGACCACAATCGTCCATCTTTAATTTTTTTTTCCTTAAAGAACAGTATTTAAGTCACAGTAGGGCCCATCAGCTTAAACCATCACTGTCACTCTTGTGATACTGACTTAAGAGGAAACAGTTCTGCTCCTGAAAACTTACAGTGTAAGTGTTAAAACAGAAGAATGCAAGATAATACTAGTCCAATAATTAGATGGGTGACAGCAATTTCACATGAGACATCTTGGATGAAGCTGGGACTTGAATACTAAGGTGATTTTAAAATGTGTGTATATATTATTACAATAGAAAAATGGTACATCTATTAAGCAACAATAAAAGCTTGAGGTGGTAATATTGACTCCTCTGGCATTGCCTTGTTTGGCAGTATGATATTTTTAGAGCAGTGTTTGTGTCTGTTTTTATTGTGACTGTGGAATCCCTATGTACTCTGAATGTTGTATGAACAATGTACTCTTGTTATTTCTTTCTTTCTGTGTCATTTCCTGAAAGGTATACTGATATTTAGAAAATTGTGGGGTTTATTCGTATCATCAGTCATGGGGGAAGGTATTGGCTGACTATTTACCTGGTACATTTTTTTTGTTTGCTTTTCATTCTGCCTGGACAATGAAATTAAACCTGCTGGTAAGTCTCAGATTGCTTTTTCAGAGTTTCATGCTTTAATTTATGACTGTTTATGTCCAGACAATCAGTGGGCTGGGTTGAAATGCAGTCTTTTACCCCCTGATTACAGAAGAAGGAAGCAAAAGCATTTCATTACTAAAACAATAAGCCAGTTTTTTACTGGTTTTAAACCTCACTAGTGTGAGTTTTGTGATATTCATATTAGTTTAGCTCATCATATTTTTTTAGAATACTCTTTGATTTCCCTGACTGGTAGAACTGTACTGTTCTACTCTTTGACTTAATCCTGATACCAGTGAAGTTTTCTGCTGTGACTTGAAATCATTGTATTTTCAAATCCTTAAATGTGAACACTGGAGTTTTGGTACATTTGATAATGTTTTTTTTTTTTAGTTAAGATGAAGATTTGGGCTAGTCTGTCCTTTCTGTATTCACAGTGACTGATTTCGTTTGTTATTCCTAGGACATGAAAGCTACATCACCTTTTGCCACTTGGAGAACGAGGCCGCCTTCACCTGCAGCGCTGACCACACCATTCGGAAGTGGGACGTGGTGACCGGGCAGTGCTTGGCCGTTTACCGAGGACACACATCAATTGTCAACAGGTGGGGTTCTCCCCTCGTGTTTCTGTCAGCTGTTATCACACACTTTGTCATTCCACTGCAGTTCCCCGTTACTACCCTCATAAAAAGGGCTGTGTAAACCTCTGAGTTCGTGTTCTTTGCTGCAATGATTAGTTTTTCTAGCAGCGCTGCTGACACAGATAGGAGTGAAATGAAAGGCACACAGCAGGGGAATRGAATCCAGGGCTAGGAATGAAATTCCAGAAGAAATTATCCAATTGATAACAGATGCTTCTGATAAATAGGTTTAAAAACATTGTGTCAGGCTTTTGTGTCAGCAAGAGGGATAAAGTCATGGATTTTTCTGCAATTATTATTCCTGTTTGGGCAAATGAAGTTTAATAATAAGYTTACTGTGTGTGGCTGATTGGCCTGTCCTTCTAAAGTGCCTGTTAGTAGCTGGACTCTAATTAATGGCAAACAGAGCAGTCAAAGATTGGTATTTTTTTAACATTTCTTTTCTGGTGGGCGTGTGGGCTTTTGGTGCCTTTCTAAACTCAAAACACATACGATGTGTAGTGAGATTCTGTAAATAGTTAGGAAGGCTGGYTCTGTGTTTTGGCACTGGCCTGATTTTTGCTTGAATCAACAAGTGGGAAATGTGTTCCCCATTCATATGACTTTGTTGCCTGTTTAAAAGGTTCCAGAGGACCAAACTCAGCTGRCAAAGAAGGCAGGTTATGGATCTTTCCTATCTCTGCTTTGGAAATATCAGCTGTAGAGATGTTTGTTATTATATGTTTCTGCAGCTACAACTCATTGTTTTGAAGGTCCAGGAAGTTGAATTCCTGAGCTGTAGTCTCTGGTTTGCTCTTCAGTTATGTGATGAGTGGGATGCTCTTGCTTTACCTTTTTTGAGATCCTGAGCTAAGTGAAATTAGACTTTTTTTTCTTGCACTCTCCTTATTTGAGGATGGAAAKATGGTTATTTTGCATCCTGTTAGTTGCAGTTCAGATTCTTGGAATATCRTTTTGTTGCTTTGTTGTTATTAATTCCAGTCTGTTGTCATAGGTCAGTTTATAAATAATTTTTATAAAGAAATATTAATGAATAGTTACCAATAATGAGTTAATTAAAAAAAAACCCAACAAACCCAAACCAAACAATATAAAAWATTTGTACATATTACATATAACTTATGAAAGTCCATATTACCTGATGGAAGGAATTTTAGCAAAACTAAATGCACAAATTTACGGTGCTGTAGTGTAAAAATATCTGCGTCAGTGTACCTGAATAAGGTAYACTGGATCTCAATAATAAAAGTAGAAACAGGGAGGTGTTTGATTTTTAAAAATGCCTAAGATGTTGTGTTTGTGYTGCTTTTTCATATTTTGGGGCACTGAAATTGTGACAAAAAACRGTTATGTAAAAAGAACAATACTCTTCATACACACAAACTTCATTTTTTGCAGAATCCTGGTTGCCAAAGACTATCTCTTCAGTGGCTCCTATGATAGGACAGCCCGCTGCTGGAGCGTGGACAAGGAGAAACAAATCCAGGAATTCCGGGGCCATCGGAACTGTGTCCTGACTCTAGCTCACTATTCCTCYAGGGATGTGCTTGAAGAAGAAGAGGAGGAAGAGGAGGAGGAGGAGAAAGTGAGCAGGGACCTGCTGGTGACAGGGAGCACGGACTGCACTGTGAAGGTCTGGTGGGTGTCCAGCGGGCGCTGCTACCAGACCCTGCTGGGACACACTGGGGCCGTCTTATGCCTTATACTTGAYGCACCAAACAGGGAGCTGTTCTCTGGCAGCACGGATTACACCATCAGGACCTGGAACATTGTCACTGGAGAGCAGCTCAAAGTGTTCAAAGAGCACCAAGGATCAGTAATTTGCCTAGAGGTAAGGAYTGAGGCTTCCTCAACAGCTTTTGGGTGTCTGTGTCTTAATTCATGTGGGTCTCAGTTGTCTTTTCATTCATAAAGAAGCTCTTCTGAGACAGGTTATAAATGGTGAGCTTAAATATTCATGTAATAACAAAATAATAGTTCTGTCTTTCTCTAAAACWTGTACTGATCTGCTCTTAGCTTCTAGTGGCTGGCCTGGTCTAACTTCTAGCTCAGTATATATTTAAATCCCACTGGGCCATGGAACTCATGAGTAGGTGTGCTGACATCACTGTTCATCTGAGAGGGATTGTGTAGTCAGGCTCACCAGACTTTGAAGAAAATAACCTGAGCAAGTAAACAGGCACAGRTGACCTAAAAAGGGGAACAAAAAAACAGAGTAAACTAGATACCTCAAAAAACCCAACCCAAAATTGTGGGCAAAAGATAATAAGAAAGCATAAAGCTGAAAAGAATCCTACATTAAAGACCACACAGATGTGATTTGAGAAAAGAAAGGGAGAAAGACATGGCCAAGACAGGAAAACAGGCAAAGAAAATGGAAAAGAGAAGCAGAGCATGAGGGAGAGAAATCAGGAAATGGTGGAGGAGAGAGGGGAAAAAATGTAATATGATCTGAAAAACTATACTCTGTTTTCTGTTTGCAGTATTTTTCTGTTGAATGTTGCCAGCTTTGTTAATGTTGCAGGGGAGAGGAGGAGGTCAGGCAGATGAAGCAAGAGGGGAACTATCCCACAAGCGTTTATCCTGTACACTCATTATCCACCGGAAAATGCTAATTGTGTATTTAAAGAGAGTGCATGATGGTCTATAACTCAGTTTCAGGTCAGCATAAATGTTTATACACGTATGTGTCTGATTGAAGTTCATGACAGTGTTTTTTCTCACTACTCTCCCTGTTTGTGTTTGTTGTCCAGAGGTGTTTTTCCTTTACAGAGGCAACAGGATGTATCTTTAGTAGCTGTTTAATAAATTTGCCTTTGTTTCTAAATAAGGTACTCACGGCTGACACTAGAAGACTAAAAACCTGGGAGTAATGAAAGAATTCTGTTTTGCTTCAGTTTTAGAAAGGGAAAAAAAAACCTTATGAAATCATAGTGCCCTGGAGTAATGTTTTTCTTGCTTGGGTAAATTCTCAGTGTTAAATCTTGTTTTTATGATATTGTGGTAATGTACTTTGAGGATGCTGAAGTAAATCTGTTCCTGTCCTTAGTGTCACGCTATGTTTTGTTGTTTAATTGTAACCCTTCTCCAAGGCACAGATTGGCAACAATAGAGCTTGCTTTAATTTAATGGGGTTCTTGCTAAAATTGTTACACAAAACTGGCTTGACCCTCTCCCAGAAGCCTGGGAAATTCAATTATGCCCTTTGAATGCTCAGGAATGAGCAATGCTTGTGAGCACAGAGTTAAACAACGGCTTTAAACAAACAGAACTTCTTGTAGGGGAAAAGAAAAGCAAAACCAATACATCTATTTGGAAAACCTGAGCAATTCAGAGTACACAAGACTACTGCTGCTGCCAAGACTGTGTTGGCAACAGTCCTGGCTAAATCTTCTTGAGTGACTGGTAGCCCCTCGCTTCTCTCATCATCAGTTAATGTTTGGGGGTGGGAGGGTCCAGCTGAGATACAAACAACCCCCACAGTGAGCATTTAGTGTCTAGGCCTCTCAAACTTATCCCAGCTTAAGCAGTCACTGCTGTTGAATAGCTTTAGGCTGTCGATCTTTCCTAATTCCTCCCTCTGCCTTTCTGGGTTCAACACTATCCCTTCTGTTCCACTTGGCTGCCACTCAGCACAGCCCACATGGTATTTTCATTCTTTTAGAAAGGGGTCAATCACCAGAATCCATACAAAGATGTTTCAACAGAAAGGAAACTTCCTGAATAGAGGTGTTTTTAAAAAAATATTATTTCTGTTTTGTTCTCAAAAAGCTTTTGGGCCTTTTTTACCTCAGGCTTCGTAGTGACCGTGTTGCAATCTGTGGCAGTGAGTTGGGGTGGTATTTTTCAAACCCTGGATAAGGAAGGACTCGAAGGTAGTTGTGAGTTGCTCACAGTAGCCAGTAATTTTAATTGTTGACAGTAATTTGTTTTCCTCAGTGCAGCAGTGAGCTGCTAATTACATCAGATTTTCACCTCCCTGTCCTGAATGAGCTGAGTTGGTACCAGCAGTTGAAGGCATTACCTGTTCTCTGGGTGGTAGGATGGTTGGGTGGGGAGAAAAAAAGGGAAAGAAAAATAAAGATTTCTTTTCRTTTTATTTATTCAAATAAAGATCCCCTAAGGGAGGGTGACCTTTCAAAAAGTTTGAGAAATGCTCAGTGTGATTTCTCATTCTGGACACAGATCAGGAAAAAATTGGATATTGAGACCATATTTTTCCCAACTTCAAAAAGTGTTATTAACGGGAATGCCCTGGGATGTTCTGAACTGCAACAAATTAGGTCCGGCCTGTTCCAGCCATCTCCCATTACTTTCCAGTAAACACCAATAGTGTGAATGGAAATTCCTGGAGCTTCTTGAAGGAGTTTTCTGGGTAGACAGCCATAAAGCACACCCATGTTTTCCACTCTGCTTCCCASAGTGCTGGTGTGTGGAAAGCAGAGAGGTGATCCACAGAGACCTTTGGATTTTGATGTCCCCCAGTTGCTTTGGGATCCTTTAAGGTGTTGTTGCCAGGTAGTATAAGTTAGAAGAGYCTGGAAACAACTCTCATCTAGCATGGCAGAACAGAATGCGTTGGTGAGCTTTGGGCTTTCCCTTGTCCCATGTCCTTGGTGGTTCTGGACAGGGGAGTGAAGAGGGTGAGCTGTTCGTATTCCCCGGGCTCGTCCTGCTGTCCTGGGGTCAGTCTGGTGAAGGTGACCAGCTGAACCCATTGTGTGTGCTCTGCTACCAAAGGAAATCTGCATCTTGTTCTAATGCACCTTTTCCTTCCACCATTTAAATTGGTCTAAGAAAGTTTTTGCTGGGAGGCTTTCTATCTTCAGTGGGAATTGTGTCCATGGTAGGYGCTTTGGCAGTATTGATTACTTGACTTTCCCAGTCAGGCAAGGTAACTTGCAGTGGAGCAGCCAGACTTCTTCTCTCTCCTCCTCCTGCAGTGTGTTGATAGCTTGGCAGAGGGAGAGCAGCAGCTGTTTTGGGAGCTCCCTCTTCGTATAAGAGCCAATAATGAGATTTTATAGGAAGAGATGGGAAAAAGCAAGGGTGGGCTGAGTGTAATCACATAGCTCATGCTCATTCTTCCACTTAAAAATTTCAAGCCTGGCTAAAGACCAGTATTTGCAATTAATAAYCAAAGACACATTTTCATTAATGTGACTGCCTGCAATAGGCTGAATAGCCCTGATTTAAATATTTACTTGTGTATGTTTTTCTAAATGTCTCTCCTAAGTAGCTTTGCAAACTGTTCACAAGGATTGCTTTGTCCTTTGCTGATTGTTCTGCCTCTGAGTATTTATCAAAATTGTGCTGCCAAAAGCTGGCAGGGAGAAATGATCCAGCTTGGAATTTAGCTTGGATCCTACAGCAAACATTCTTGCAAGAAAACTCCCTTTTGAAGAACATGAACATGAGTGGGCAAGGACTTGCCTCTGGTTTTCCTGCAAAAGATCCTTTGTTTGGACCATTCCCTTCAGTTGCCTTTTAAAGCCGACTAGAAGAAAAGAATGCTTTGAACAAAGCCACTGCCTGCACTCTGTTTATATGCTTAACTGTTATGATCATGGGGACAGAAATGTTTTCTTGCCACACCAGTTACATTAACTACCCATATTTTTTGTAATTTGTGTTTGTATTTGTTGCATCAGAGGATGAAGATGTGAATGAGAGGAATGTGAAGGTGAACACCACCTGCAAGACTGAAACATGTTTGTGGAGCCATCACTTTGCACTGCAGTGGAAAAGCTGAAAAACATTCTCTTAACAGCCAGTTCAGAGAGCTCATTCTAGATGGATTCTCAGCAAAAAGAAAAAACCAACAATTTCTTGCCCACAGGGAGTTTGTTAGCTCATTAAAATAGATGTGGTTTGAACGGGATCTTGAAATTCAACTCGGCCCAAGGCTTACATAGTTGTAACTTGAGATTGGTCCAGCTTGGTGATTTTTCATTTAGAAGTGGCTGTGAACAGAAGACCGAAATTCCAGATCGCAGGAACACTGACCCCCCACAAAAAGAATAAGCTGGTGATGGGATATGTGGTTGCTGATGTGAACTTATCCTGAAGTTCCTGGGAGCCAGTCTGAGTGCAGTGATCCTCAGCAAAAGGATCCAACTCTCTTTGGAGAACCAATTGCCTCTCCTTAGCTCTCCAAAAATTGTTTCTTATAGCAAAGGTTAATTGGGAGGGCAAAGTCTTTCTATAAGGTTGAAATACCTGCTAAACAGCTCTTTTGCACATACTTTTGGCATTCTTACAAGTAGAAATTTTCTTAAGCTGCTGCATTTATTCAGTTCAGCCAAGCTTGTAAAGTAATAGGGTTGTGATTGTCTTGAGAGACCAACCCTAGATGTGATCATTTGTTGTTTTTGTGAAAATTCTGGTGTGTTTGGGGGCTACAACCAAGGCTTTTTCTTATTAATGAGACCTGTGACTACTGAAGTGTTTACAACTTGTATTTTGCTACTGCTGTTACTCTGCAACTCACAAGCAGTTTSACTGAACTTTTCCATGGAATATTTACATCTCCAGTAATTGGAGGTTTAAGGCAAATTTGCTCCATTCACATGTCTCAATGTTTCATCTATTCAAAGCCTAATCTCTCATAGCATGAGAAAAATTAACAATCCAGAATTGCAAATATCAATGCAGTGATTTTTTTTTCTGCTGTTTGGCTGAGGCTTTAGAACTTGGCATCAAACTGTTGGCAGGTTTTTAATTCTTTTGAAGCTACATGGGTTTGAAATGTCCACTCAGCCCATTGGTATCAGAGCTGCAAATCTGTTCTGTGCTGTCCACTCTGCCACAGGTGTCCTTGCCTGGCATGGTTTTCTGTGTCAGCAGCTTTGCTGGGCAGTTATCCAAAGTGAGCCAAGTGCYCAAAAGCCAGCCAAGGAAAATACAGCTTTGGAAATATCACCACTTCTCTGGGCAGTCACAGACTGGAATATGTAACTGTGCCTACTAACCATTTTGAAACCACAGTGTGGGACCAGCTTGTAAGGTGCTTTAGGGGAACAGAAAGTGGTGATGATGATGATTATTGTTTTTATTAAATGCAGATATCTGAAGTGTTGTAGCTTAGGCTGGAGTTGTCAGCTAGACATATCTTTGGTCAAGTGAAGAAGGAATGATCTCATCTAAATTGATCTGGCCACAGCTGAGAAAGTTGTCCTTGTCAGGGACGAAAAATAGTGAGTTTTAAGGCATGATGTGTTTCAGATGTCCCTCAGGATGAGACAAATTGTGCCCTAGGTCACAGTGACTGTAAGGGGGCTATCTTAGCTGTGGAGATCTGCACGAATTCAGAAGAGATTATACCTGTTATATCACTAAAGGCAGATCTGATTTGCAGCTTCAGCCTGAGCTGAGAGCTCTTGATGGCTTTCTCCACTAACAGCCACTTCATGCTATTTTATAAAAACACCATGGGAATGAGGGGCTGTGTGCCAGTCAGAGCCTGCCCTGGGTTTTGCTGTTGGCTCTGCTGCAGGCTAAGTCTGTGGCACCTCGTAGACTGTTTAACCTGTTAATATTTCCTTTTCCATACAAGGCTGAGAATCCTTTACTCTACTGTGCTCACGTGCTTAAACTGGCGAGGAGGAGGAAGGTGCATTGAAGGGTTTCATGGGGCAGCACAGAGGCTTTGAATTTAATGAGGGTGGTTGGTGTTCTGACCATCTCACTAGGTCTTGGCCTGGGCATCAAAAAGCCAGCCCTGTCCAGGGCTGCAACAAAACCAGTGTGGGCAGAAGGTCAAGGGAGGTGATTCTCCTCTATTCTGCTCTTGTGAAAACCCACCTGTGGTGCTGCATCTGGCTCTGGAATCTTCAGCACAGGAAAGACATGGATTTGTTGGAGCATGTCCAGACAAGGTTGTGAAGATGCTGATGAGGRTGGAGCACCTCTGCTATGGAGACAAGCAAAGAACATTGGGGTTGTTCAGCCTGGAGAGGAGAAAGCTCTGGAGAGACCTTAGAGCCCCTTCCAGTGCCTAAAAGGGCTCYGAGAGAACTGGAGAGGGACTTTGGACAAGGACATGGAGTGATGGGACAAGGAGGAATGGTTTTAAAMTAAAAGAGGGTAGRTTTAGTTTAGATGTTAGAAAGAAATTCATTCCTGTGAGGCTGATGAGGCTGATGAGGCTTCCCAGAGTAGCTCTGGATGTCCCATCCCTGCARGTGTCAAAGGTGAGGTYAAACAGGACTTGGAGCAACCTGATCTAGTGGGAAGTGTCCCTGACCAGGGCAGGGGTTTGGAACATGATGACCTTTAAGGTCCCTTCCAACCCACTCCATTCTGGGATTCTAAGGCTCTTACAATCCCAGTGCTATAAATTACCTGATTAAGCCCACATAATTTAATACATTTTTATATCTAACAAATTAGCAAATCTAGGCAAGCTGCAGCTCTCTTGTTTCAYTTTGGCAATGATACACCAACTTAAATGTAGAAATGAAGCAGCATAACCTAATGTACCATTAATGCAGAGTGGCATTTACCTGCAGGAGGTTATAATTTAGTGTTTTCCTTGCTCAGTGGGCGGGTTGATGCTGCTAGCAAGATGTCTAAAAAAGAAATGCAATGACTTGGCCATGAACCACACAGCAGGATCTCAGCTCAAAGCGTCTTCTTCCATTTAGCAGGTGCACATGACAATGCCCTTCATGCCCATTCAGGGAGAGAGTGGAATTTAAAAGTCCTTCCTCAGGCTAACTGTGTGGGTCTCGATTTTGTCAGTGCTGCTGGCCATTTGTTCTYTCCTCATGGAGATGCTGTATTAATGCTGTTCCTAAAACAGCTTAAAAGTAATAGGAAGTGACATTTGAAAGTACTGCTGGCTTTTTACAGTGGTTTGTGCTTTTCAAGCTCCTGGGCGTTCAGCTATGAAATCTCTCCCCTGGGCCAGGTTCTGCTGGTAGGAAGCGTGGCATGTCCTGCTCCTTCTGGGCTGGTGGGAGCTGCGGCCAGGGATCCTCTTGGTCTGTCTGCATACTTTTCTCATGTGGCTTATCACAGTCCCATAACTGTTGTGCTTTGTATCTTAAAATACCTTTTGTTTCGTTTTGTAACACAGCACAATGTTGTTTTGTAAAAAGCTCATTTTTCCTTTYGGGAATGGGGTCATTCCTTTTAGGATTGGGAGGGGAGATGGAAGATTGTGAACAACATTCGAACCTTACAGATATAGAGTGTGCAAAGAGTGGGGACCAAATCGAAGGTGGCAGAAGAACCAACCCTTAAAAATGTTCCAAGAGTAAGACCATGACAAGTTGATTTGTCATTTGTTGGTTTTCTGGAGACACCAGAGAAGCATCAGGGGTTTGTGCACTGGTGGTTATTCAGATCTTCTGATATGTGTGTCTGGGGGGTCGATCATTCATTGCTCCTTAGGCAATTTCCACTTGGTGGGGGGGTCAGGGTTCTCCCTCCTGTCTCTCCATCCCTGTGATACAGAGGTTGCTGCAAGTCCATAAAACTTACCTCAAGCCAAAGCCAGGTGTTTCAGTGACTGGCTGCCTTTGGGTGCCAGGAGTTGGGCTCTGTTTCAAAACAGTGGTTGTGAAAATCTTCAGTTTCATTTCTTTACACAGACAGAGAATGCCAGATTTTTCTGTGCACTATGGAGCTTTTCCTTGCTGAGCATCCAGGCTTTGTATAGTTTGTTTACTGTGCACTGGTTGGTTTTTCAGTCTTGCACAGGTCAGTTATTTTCTCTCTGTTCCCCTGCTGCAATCCTTCCTTTCGTCATTCTCTGTGCTGCGTGGCACAAACCCCATCCTCCCCACCAGTGAGTTCTCACAATGTGCAGGTGACTGGTGCAATGAGGCACCATTCTTCTTTGAGAGACACACAGCAGAAGAAAATTTCCTTGATGACATTTAAAAACCTGTGTCAGGATGGTTAATTATGAAATCATTCAATAACAGTCTAAAAAGACTTGTGGAAATGTGGATACTGAACAGTTTTAAGGAAGAGCAAATATTTTCAAAWGCTGGCCTTGTGCAGAGTGATTATACTAAACATAAAGTTTTGTTTATGTTGGTTTATGGTGTGTAGGATTTTAATTTTAATTTACTTTTTTAGACTTTTATTACTCAGAATTGTTCTGAATTTTTTTGTAATTAGAACTCACAATCTGGTAAGAGTCCTTGTCAAGAGTTTTTTGCAGAAACTGCACTGCTGGGGKTTTTTTTTTGAGGCTTTAGTAATGTACCTGATTATGGAAGTAGGGTTAACATCGTTAAGCTCACTGAAATCCAGCCTGCTGGCACCAGCAGATGGGCTAAGCTTTTATGTTCTGAAAGCTGGAGCTTTTTTAAGACCCAGAAKTCAGTGGGAGATGCGATTGTGAAGAACTCAAGGTTTGCTCACCATTGCTCTGTTTCAAGGTGCAGCTGCTTGCTCTTTGTAACAGTTGGACACTGTGACTTGGGATGAGTCCCTTCAGTGCAATTCTCTCACAAAGGAGGCTGACAGACCATTGCTGATGTGTTTTTGTCTCCCCTCAGCTGGTGAATCGGCACCTGTACTCGGGGAGCGCGGACAGGACAGTGAAATGCTGGTTCGTAGACACTGGGGAGCGGATCCAGACGTACAAGGCTCACAAACACAGCGTTAGCACTTTGAAGTACCACGCTGGCATCTGTAAGTTGCCTTTCCTATGTTCTCCAGCCCCCTTTCTCCTTTTCTGTGTTTGTCTTTTACTGAAGGTTGTTAATGGAGAATAATTTTAAACGCTTGTGAAGTTGTCACTCTTTTTCAACTCCAGCGTGTTTACATTCAGTACCAAACTGCTGCACTACTCCATGTGGGAAGCTTAGACCTTCCCTCCATTTTCCACCTCCCTCTTCTCACAAATGAAGAGGCAGTTGTTTTGTTTCTGTTACCGAGGGAAGTGGCTTAAATCCTGAGCTGTCTGCAGGTTGTTTGTGTGGCTGTGGTTTAACCTCACTAGTCTGGTGTCTGTCACCTGCTTCTGCTGCGCACCAGGGACAGCATCTGCTGCTGCTGGACACACAGCCCCATGCCTGTCTCTACTGCCTTTTAGGCTCTGTATAACATCCTGTCCTAAAACAGAATCACATCTCAGATGCTCACTACTCTTTTCTAACTGTTAGGCTTCCTGTTCAAGCTCTGATCGTCTCCCAAATTCATTTTCCACAAATTCTTTTCCCATTACCTGTCCTCAGTCATGGATTTGTTCCCCAAACCAGCTTTCTCCAATAGCCAAGAAGTGTTTGCCTTACTAATGCTCAGAACTCAGCTCTCCCACTTTGAGTCCTCRTGTTTACAGTGGTTTCTGTATGTGTCTATTGCGGACATAACAGTATATTTCTGACCATCAAACCTCCCTCTTTAAATCCCTCTCTGCGCTGGCTTTCCTTCTGCATGTCTGGGTTTGGGTTGCAAGACAGCGCCTCTGTTTTTATCAGTGAACCTCTCCCTGTGTCATCCTGGTTTTATTTCTGGTGTTAGACCTGATGTATCTTTACTTGCTTCCCAAAAAAAACTTCTCTCCTTCTCTCCTACCCTGAAGGAGATGGGCATGGCTGCCTTAACCTAGACATTTGCAAAGCTTTTCCTGGCTTTGATTTCTGCACTTCAGCTATGAAGTGAACACATCACACGAAACGAATGGTTGCTATCTGGGCCTTGATCTCTCTTTTGGCAGCTCCTCAGTGTGATGGTGATAAATGGCTGACAGATGCAAGATGCTGCACTTTAGCAGAGAGTTGTACCTGCATGGTTTAGTGGCAGTTGTCTGGCACCATGCTTGYTATGGCTGACTAAATTTATAACCCAGTAACTGAATTGATTTCTTAATTATGTTTGGAAACTTAACATGTAATCAATCCCAAAGGTAGAATTTTATTTTAGCCAGGAAACCTTCTTTTTKTYTTCCTTTCAGCATCAGCATCAGATYCACAGCACTGCYTTTCTCCATTAAAATATTTAATTGTAATTTATGGTTATTTCAGCTCTCCTCACCTACATGGCAGAATTATCCCATTCTCCTCTACCTCCAGGTTGTAATTTCTACTGATTTCAGCTTCTGCACWTGGCCAGAAGGCTGAAATGGAAGGGGAAAGGGTCTGAAACTRTGCTGCACCCTGAAGTAATTATGCTCCAAGATGTAGGCAGGGAGAGSAAGGGATTATGATCAGAAATTGTGATCCAGGATGAGCAATGGCAGACAAAATACTGATGATTTTGTGTGTGTTTTCCCCYTTTTAATTATAAAGACACAAACCACAACATTGAATTTAGAAAGACTAGCAAAGGTKAGGTAACTGCTAAGATGAAGTTTGATCCTGTGAGGAACATTCATATCTGGGTGGGAGATGGAGACGGTCCCCTCCATTAATGAGACCTCCAGAGCTGCGTTTTTTCAGTGTTGATCCTGTTCTTCATGCAACCAGCATAGGCTTGACCAGACTATAAAGAAAATAAATTTTAGCTCAAAAAAAAGTTCCATTATCTGATGCCATCCCCATCAGCTCTGCAGCCTTTTCTCTCTTTTCCTCCTCATTCTACCAGSCTGTCTCTGCCATACACATACATTATTTTTCCTCAACACTCCTTTTTTAAATTAAAATGCAGACAATATTGCTGCATTTAGTCAGACCTGTGAAGAACATCCTGGTAATGTGATAGAAGAGGTCACAGAGTTTAAGATCTCATTTTRTATCAAATGCAAAAATACTAAAAGTGTCAAACAGGGAGTATCAAGTTGTTCCACTTGAAGGGTAGAAAAAATGTCCTGGAAAAATATTAGGGACTTGTTTGAAAGCATTATATGCATTTTAATTAATGAAAGAGGAAATTTGCCCTTAAGAATTAATTTGCACACTATGATTGCTTGCACTATTGTAGTGCATTCGTCACATATTTCCACAGTATCTAATAATTTTGTCTCTATAATTCTAAATCTGACATGTTTACTGGATAGTGTTGGAACTAGGGTAGATTAAAATTCTATCTCTTCACCTGGGACAGATCAGAACCATCTCCCAGAAATGTGGATAAAATTCTTCAATACAAATGATGTTTGTTATGGTTTATGTCACATTTGCACTGGAGCATGGAAAAAAAATCTCAGCCAAGAAGTGGTAATTTTCTGTTAGAAAATCTTAATTCTGCTTTCCCTCTGTTCAGTGCCCAAAGGCTCATTKCCCTAAAGAATTTGTAGTCTAAATAAAAAAAAAATAGAGTAGAAGAAAGAGATGGAAGATACGTATCTGTTTCCAAAATCACTTTATAGTGTACAGGGACACCAGACAGATGTGAGAACTAAGCATTAAATCCTTATAATGTGTTTGTAGTGGCTTTCCTCAGTCTGCTTGTGTACTTAATAGCATGGGGAATATTACAGCTGGTTCTCAATCTAATTTATGTAATGATATGTTGATTATTTCTCTCTTAAAGAATGTGCACAGTCATTTAAAATTTAATGCAGTTTATATTTTTTCATGTTGCAAAAGCTCCAGGGGAACATTTCAAAACTGTAATCCCAAGRGTCTATGAAATTTAAGTAAAAAATGAAAATTAATTTTATTTTGTTGTTGTTATTTATTTCACAGGTTGTATGTATAACTGTATATTTAAATGCTAAATCTGGGTTAGATCAACAGCTTTTCTTTGAAACTGAGAGGTGCAAAGAGACTTCCTAAATCCACAGTGACAGTCCAAAAGACATAAAGGGTGTCTGTCAAAAGCAAAGTCCTGATAGCAATAGCTAAAGTAAACTGGCAGCTGCATAGTGAAAACAGCTCTTAATTGGTTCCTACTCTCTGCATTTCTGTAACAGAATTAAGGGATTTCCATTCAATGGAAAAAAAAAATTGGTATCTGTTCTCTGCTTTACTTTGTTGTTACTCATTTGCAGAGAGACAGATGATGCTTTTTCAGGGCTGCTGGAAATTGAATTATAGTGGCCCATATAAAGTGACATTGATTTTCCACATCCAGATGTTTCTTGGAGGTGCACCCAGGAGGTGCCCAGCTCCCTGCTGTTTCATTTGAATTTAAAAAGCTCATGGCAGTACATAGTCTGTTCTCTCATCTGTTATTGTAGTCCTGAATTTACTACCATGATAATTTTTTCACCTCTCTTTAGAGATTCAGTCCCTGACTTCTCACAGAAGATAAGGAATCTGTTGGCTTCAGGCACTCCATTTTGTAAAAATCTTTCCATGCTAGTGGCTTTTACAAAGACATGAAATGCAGGGAGCAGTGAATATATTGCTTTTTGCAGCTAGGAAATATTTCTCTCTAGATAAACTTGAGGAGTTTGGGTTAACTGACGGAAAGTGAGTGTTTATCAAAAGAGTTTGTATCCTTTAAAGCACAGAAATGGGCTCCTTTTTGGGCATAGTGCTAARTACAAAATCTAAATATTAACACTGCCTTATAGTTTCTGGATGCAGCAGTTCTGGTAATCTAATATGAAGATCCTGAGATGCTGAGAAATTGTTCTTTGAACATGTGAGGTATTCTGAGGAAACCTGATGAATAGTAAAAAAATCCTGGTCATGCTCAATTTAGTTACCCCAGCCCTGCCCCTCCTGCAGCAGCAGAAGTGATGGAGACACTGGAGTACTGAATGGAAAGCTGTAAATAACTCTGGTGAAACAAATGAAAGGTTGAGTGGAAATCCTTAAAAAAGACTTGAGAGAAATTGCCTGCTTAGAATTATTGAGGCACATTTAGGCAGGGAAGTATCTGTGGAAGAGCAGAAATAGATACTTGCAGCATGTGTGGACTGAATTGCTGGTGTGTGTWGGAACTTCATGCTTAAGACAGTTCAGAGTTTTGAAAAATACAACTGAAAACAAATATGCTGGGGTCAGCAAAATGAAAATGATCCTGTTTGTCTGAGGAGAGAATCAAAAAGATGCATCAGGCTCCCTTGTGAGCTGGTTTCAGGTACATTTTTGGACTCGCATGAACTGACCTCACGTGGCTGCTCACATCTGGCTGTGCTGTGTGGTTGTGTGTCAGTGTTCACAGGAAGTGGTGATGCCTGTGCAAGGGCTTTCAATTCCAGGAGTGGAGTCCTGCAGAAGATCTTCCGAGGACACAAGTTCATCATCAACTGTATCCAGGTCAGGAAGGGGTTTCTTGGTGGGGTTTTTTCCTTTTGATTGCTTCCTCATTTGTTTTGTGGGAACTGGTGTGGTTGACTCTTCTGTGTATCTTGGATATTTTTTTGGGATAAGACTTGAATATTCTGTATGTAATTTTAGAAAAGCTTGTTAATAGTAATAAGGATAAGTGAAACTATGGAATGAGTCCCCAGGGACAGCCCCATGTCTGGGATCAGGGCTTTTTCAGGTCAGGTTGGACAAGCAGCCACAAGAACTGGGACAGATGAATTGATRCTGTGTGGGGCATGGAATGGACTCCAGCCTCATGAGACCCTTTCCATTACAAAACACTAATGATAAGTGTTGGCAATGCTCTAARGGGAAAAGAAGCTCCTGCCTTATGAAGGCAGAATAATTACGGCAGCATCCCCCAAAGCACCCTGGGGCACAGCATCCCTAAACAGTCTGAAGCAGCTCAGTAGTGATATCTGACCCACAGCATGCCAGGCAAATGGAGGAGTCTCTGCCACTGGCTTAAAACTGAAAGTTAATGTTGTTTGCGTATTGTCTAGGCTCAAGTGAGACTGGCATTTAAAAGTTAAAATGGGAGGAATCAGTAATCCTTCGTGGTCATGCAAATATCATGGAATCATATAGTGATATGTATTGGAAGGGATTTCATTTTAACCCCTCTGCCAYGGGCAGGAACACTTTCCACTAGACCAGGTTGTTCAATGYCCCTTCCAACCTGGCCTTGAACTCTTCCAGGGATGGGGCAGCCACKCTRAGAATCTGCATCTGCCTGCACTGGGATTTCAGTATGAGCTGTGTGCAGGATGAGTGTTTTGATTAACAATGTGAAACATTGTTGGTAATTCTGGCAGGCTGACAGTCCAAAGAAAAAGAGAGGAGATAAAATTCATTTTGGAGTTGATCCCAAGCACAMAAAGTTGTAAATATTGTTTCTTCTTGTATATTCTTGTGAATTAGCAAATGGCTGGTTGGTCTTAAACTGTGAACTCCTGGTACTGGGCAGTTGTTATGAAGCAGGTGGGCCCCTGGATGTGTTTGRGGAGCTCCTGATAGAAGCAGCCTGGGCAGCCCCAGGAATTGACAAGATCGAAGCTTAGCTTTGTATTCTTTATAACTTAATTTCCAACTGTACAGGGGCAAAAAAAAMCTGGGAAGAGAGAGGAGTGAGAAGTGGCAATCTTAATATGATCTGAAGTAAATTAATGAGGGTTGGATGAGGGATGTGGTGCTTGTGTGGTGCTCCGTGTAAGCCAGGGATATGCTCACTGTCACAGCATGGACAGGCTGGCACAGAGCACCCACGGGGTGGACACTTGATGCAGGAACAGAAAGATCATCAAGGCTGATGTCTGACTTCTAGGGCAGGACAAGGTCAGTTGGAAACATCAMCAACAGCAGCAAAGGGTTCAGAAAGGAAATGAAACCACAGCAGTGAATCCAGGTTAAATTACTGCAGTTTTGGAAAGCGAACAGTTTGAAGGAGGAATTGTACCTATAACTTACTGCAAAGGAGGAAAGGAAGCATTCCTCAACCCCCCACTACCCACTGATGATGATTTTGGTTCTTCCTTATGCACCACATCGAAACCAGCAGTCTGAAAACAGCACAGAAATCCCCAGCTACAGCCTGTGCTCACATTGGGTTTAGCTCCCCATTGCTTTTCCAGAGGGTCTGGCTTATAAATAACTCCTGCTGTTTATACTTTATGGCTCTGTGAAGTGGCTGAGAAATGAGACCTGACTTGGTAATGTCTCATCCCACTTCAGCAGCTTTTGTGATAATTTATACTGACTCTTGCAATGAGCTCAGGCCTTAAGTGTTGGGATCAAGCTGTGTTTGCTCTGATTTTTGACAGTTTGATTGTGCTGATTGCGAGCCATATGGTTGGGTATTAAGTGTGACCCTGTTGTTCCAGATCCACAACGAGCTGCTCTACACAGCTTCCCACGATGGCACATTAAGGATTTGGGACATCCGGGGAATATGCAAGAGAAATAAGCGGCGCTTGAAGAAGGAGAGGTCAGTGCAGGGCAGGGGCTCCCAGAAGGGGAGTTTGTCTCGTCTCTTCAACAATAAAGTTGGCTGTATGGTACAGCAGGAGAATGGGGAACATGAGGCTGTTGAACTGATGTGACTATCCAGAACAGGCTTTATGTCAGTGACCAAAGCTGAACCTTTTGTTTTCTGCCATCACTGTGTCCATGTAAACCAGAACTTGGAAAGAGATGGGAAATGGCTGAACCTCTGTGTGAGGAGCCAGGATTCTCTGTGGCTGCCAGATGGACTCAGGTCAGATCCTGTGGCTGCAGATGACWCAGCTGAGCAGCTCTGGGGTCAGGAGGGGAGGCCGTGTGGTTTAGGTGAGGTACCACTGTGTGTGTGCAATTAGGGACTTTCCTTATGACTGCTGGTGTCAATTCCCTCGGGCACGGAGGCATTTCACCTCAGGCTGCCCAGTGTCTAATGAGATGTTTTCCTGTTCCTGTTGCCCACTCCYATGACCTCTCAATGTGGCAGTGAAGGGTATCCTGCAGTGTAATGCGGCCTTGAATTCCATCTTCACAGCTGACCTTTGGGTCAGTTTCTGGCTGAYGAGGCCAGTGCAGGAGGGTTTGGCTCTGCAGCAGTAGTTTAAAGCAGACTGGACACCTCTCTCGGAAGCTGGAAGTAGTAGGACAGAAATTAATTTAACTGGGTTTTTTTACAAAACATGAGCCACAGAACAAGCTAACCTCAGCCCTTCAGTGCCAAGATTAGCTGTTTGCTGACCTTGTGTTRTCTTTCCTCCTTCCAAAGCTGTGTCTTGCTAGGTTGCCAGTAGCATTGGATAAACAGTTAAACTCAAGCGTTTTCCCAGTCTTTTTCCAGGTTCATCCTTCTCTGATAACCACTGAGCCATGAATTAACAAGGGTTCTTATATTTTTCTATTTGCAGATATAGCTCTTTGTAGAATCAGTACAAAAATATCTAACCACATGTTTTTATTTTTATGGCTTTATTTATTCTGTACTACAGCAAGATAAAAATGCTGTAATCCTTTTTTAGAATGGATTAATAAACATGTGGCATCTACAGACAACTGACTGTCTTGTTTTTATTTTTGTCTCATATATGGAGGGGGTGGCCTGGCTGCAGACACACAGTAGTTAAAATGGATCGAAAATGGGGAAAAAAATCCCACATATACTTTTGGAAACATCTGCCTTCCCCTCACTGCTGGGGTTGGAGTTGGGTGTGTGTGGAACTGTCCTGCCTCCTACCAGTCACCAGACTGCCTGAGCTCAGTTTCCCTATCAGGACCAGACACAAAGCAAAGCATGGACTTAAAGCAGTGATGACATAAAGCCATATGCCGTGGTGGCACCAAAGACCCCTGTCCTGACAGCTTAATATTGTGTCAGTGGGTCAGGCCCATCACAGACCCTGCTCTCTTCTCCTGCTGAGCAGCTTTGGTAGTTCTTACCTGTCAGGTTTCCATATCTAGCAGAAAACAGCATTTAAATTATGTGAAAATCCCTGTCAAGAGACTAATTTGGGAGGTCATCTGCATTGTGCAGACTCAATTCCACTGTAAATCTCTGAAGCTGGTCATTGGGGCTCAGTGACACATGGTTATGAGCTGGTGATGGCTTGCCATACAACTGATTTTGCATTTTGCTTCTGAAGACAACACTACATAGGAGGCCTTTAGGAGATGGATGGAGTTCCCCAGACCACCTGGGCTGTATTTTCTGTTTAAAACTCCACATGCAGTATGTGAGACACAAGAGCCTATCTGGGCATTCAGCAGCTGCACATGCAATCAGCAGAGAGATCTCAAAGAGTGGAATTATTGAGTCATTACCACTTCTGCCTGTTGCTAAACATATCACAGTGCCTCCAAATGCATGGTCAAAATTAACTTAGAGCTTTCAGCCAATGCCTCCTGCCCTGCTGATCACTTACAACTGCACTGGCAGAGTTACATCACTGATGAATGGCTGCTCTGACAAGCACTGCATGTTATGATGCTAATTTTAAATTCCCCAAGGACAAACCTTTCCTTCTGAAGTTGGTGCTGACAGTTTGCTGTGCCAGCCACTTCAAAAAGGAGAACTGCTGCCTGTGCAGCCCACTGCTGCCTTTGGTGCTTGTCCAAGGGGTCACGAGCAATGCCAAGGTGCCAGGAGGTTTGGGAAGGAAAGAGTAAATGCTTTTTTCTACCTACTTCTTGTTAAAACTACATCCATGACTGATGTTTTCAGTTTTAAATAATCTCTATTCTGGTTTTGCTCTGTGTTTTGTCCAGTCGTTCTCTTCAGTGCTGGCCTGGAAAGAAAAAGGATATAACGTATGCTGGGGATGGTTTTCCCTCAGAAGCTCACATTCTTGCTTTGGAAATCCTTAAGCCTTCAAGGTAGACATAAAAGGCCACTCAATTTTTATAGCACTTGCCTTGATACAGAAGAATGAAATACRAATAATTCCTTAGTGTAATCACTCCCTGCTTTTTGCTGTGGTTGGCTGAGAGAATCAGTCTAAAGCCTAATCCACTGCTGCAGCGTTCAGTCCCTGCGCTAGAGGTGAGCAGTCATTCCGCAGGCCAAAGCCCAGCTCCCTGCAGTGCCACAACAGTTCAAGCCCTCATTTCCGGGCCGGTAAGTGCCGGGTAAGGATACACCGTCACCACACGGAGGGCTGATGTTCTCGCTCTAAGTGCAGAGCGCGGCCGCTTCGCCGTTCCCACGGGCTCCAGACGCGGCCGGGGCTCCCTCTACCGAGAACGTGGAGTCATGGAACCCGAATAAACCACATCCAAGCAAAGCTGCCGGGCAGGGGAATGAATGTCTGTTTCCTGCTCACACGGCAGGAAATGGGATGCTGTAAAACCACAGAAACCCCCAAAAGCTTCTTCAGAACGCTGCAGCTGGACACAGCTACTGAGAAYAGAGCCTCAACCAAGCTCTGTTCAACAGCTGATTGCAGAAAATCCTGTAATCCCCTGGAAATCCATCAGCCTTAAGCCACACACCTGCWAAGGTCAAAGGGAGCTGCTTGGAGAAAGTGGTTATTTAGTTATAAAAGGAAATTCCAGGACATCACTGCCCCAGTCCCAGGACTGGGACTCTTCATATCTGAGGCCTGCCAGGTAGTTCCCACTTTTTTTTTTAACAAAGCAGAGGTCGCTCACCAAAGGCAGAAGCAGCACAGTTACCTTTATTACCTGTGTAACACCTGCAGGAAGGGACAAGCAGAACACGGTATAAACCCATGCACAATGATACATTAATGTCTCTTAGAAATCTTTCAGAAGAAAAGCTGGAAAGCTGATATACCTCTAGGGCCTCATGAGCTAAGGTTTCCCAAATTTATAAACTCACGTTTTTCTTTTAAAGCTGGTATTTTAAAATGGTATAGAAATGCCTCTTTACTAAGTGAATTAACTTATCTCACAATAAAAATATAGTTTAGTTCTATTAAATTTTCTTCTGAAAATAAATGTTTCTATTTTTCTATGACAATAAATTACAATGTATCACAAATGTAGGCTTTAAGCAGAGTTACAAATAACCAGGAATTAAGTATTCCAACTATAGTTTAACTGAATTCAAGGCCCTTAGTAAGAGATAAGCTGAAGGTGCATTTATAATCCAAACTCAATTTGACAAGGTAAATACATATAACTGAAGTAGATTTAATGGGATTTAGTGCTGTGGTACTTGTATATAGGATAAGTATTCATGAATGATCTGCTCTTCTTCCTCGAGTGTTAAATCCAGATAATCCTCTTCGTGTTCAGGAATATCCTCTAGGATTTCATTGACTGCATCATTCTCCATGTCTTCATCTGCTGGTGAACTAGAGGAACCTTCCAATAAAAAGCAGCAGCAGTGAATTCACCTTTGAAAGTTGGTATTTCCCCTGTTTCACCAGCAGCCTGTTCCTATACAACAATTACCCTGCAAAGGGTAGGGCAGGATGGCCATTTTTCCTTATTATTTAAACATGGGGTGGGAAAGTCTTTAGTTATACAACATGGATCACTAAAGCTCTGACAAATAATGAGAGAAAAAAATAGGTGCAAGTTTCTCTTTTGTTAAATGGAAAGTATTGATTATGGTTAAGGGACATGGGGAAGGAGTATAGAGGCAGGTCAGCCACCTACAGAGCAGAGATTTGGAATAAATTAATTCCTTAGCCCTGCCCAGGATACCCTGAATGTCACCTTTTGTTCTGGGCTGTACCTGCCTGCAGCAGACACCTGTCCCCTCTGGTCCTTGTGGGGCTGTCACTGCAGGGGCTGCAGCTCACCTGGGACAACAGTGGCCTTCTTGTAACTGTGTTCTCAATAAAKCAGCCTGGAGCACTACTGGAGCCCCTGTACCACTATTTCAGCAGAAATTAATTGTTTCCTACAAAAGCCAGAAAAACAGCCTGGGCTTCCCTTTCCCCCTGCTGCTGGATGCAACATTCTCACCTGCAGACTCTGTGAGCAGGTCCTTGGAAGAAGATTCCTCTGATGGACTGGACCCTTCTGATGACAGTAGCAGCGAAGGGGGAAGAACTCCCCCATAATGAGCAAGGGTTTGGGAAGCCACGTGGATGTTCCCTTTAAAGACCTTTAAAGCTTGCTCAGCTGACTCACGGCTGAAACCCATATACATCAGCTGCAGGAAGGGGGAAAAACAACAAAAAAAAATTAAGAAAACTGGGAGAAATCCAAGCTCATCCAACAGCAGAGTCTGACAGTCATTCTCTCACACAGAGAAATGCRCTGCATGCCAGGAATTCCAGGACACTGACTCTGGCTTACTGGAACAGTTAACAACAGGGCAGTGACCTATTAAATCCATGGGGATGTTGAGCAGGATCAACAGCCTCTTGTCTAGTACCAGACCAATTCTTCTTCTGTTTTCAAAAGGAAACTTCAAAGCAATCCAGTGAATCAGGAGGTGCACGTGCTATTTACTTTTCCTAGGCAATACAGTTTTCTKGCCTGATATCAATTACACAGCCACAATAAATACTGATGAGCTTGTCATTCAGCCTGTCATGAGAAATACACATTCCAACTCTTTCCCTTTCACATTGCAGAGTTTAGAGACTTGAATAAATTTCTCATTTGCTGTCTTTTAAAGCATTATTCTGGATATATTTCCCCTCCACATTCACACAGAGCAGGTTGGTGCAATGGGCAGGAAGTGCACACAAATTACAAGTTAGCCTGAGTGACTTCACCGTGAAGAGTGGATACCAGACCCTGGAAGTGTGACAGCCTGAATGCCATAGTCAAAGAATATTTGTACTGCTTTGCTTAAGGAAGATCTGTCTTTGCAAGCATAACTCAGAAATAAGACAATCAACTCACAAGAAAGCAAATGGTCTAGCTTACTTGCTCAATACTTTCTTGGGAAACCTGAAACTGGTCCATGGCCACAGAAYCATCATCATCATCTTCCAGCAATAACTCAGGATTGTCAAGAATAAACTGCAATAAAACAGAGAGATCAGAACAGAGCCACAGAGTTACAACAGTCCTCGACAYGGTTGTGTATGCAGCCCAATGGTTGATACAAGCAAACCTCAGCCAGCTTAACTGATATCTGATTTATTGGGTCAGAAAGTGCAAATTCAGTCATTACAGTTCAGAAAAGGTAGCTATGAACTAAAAAATATACACTACAGAAAATAATCTGCTAAACAATTAAAAAAACACCAACC